GTCCTGAAAACGCATCAGGATGTAGTATATAGTGGGCCTCAATAAAAAAAAAGTTTAAAAAAGCTGTTACTAAGATAGAGAAAGAGAAGGAGAGTTGGACACTGTGTCTGCTCACAAGACAGGGAAAGGCTTTAAAGCCGGTGGCCAAAGTGTGAAGAATAATCAAAAAGGGACAAGGACTCTGAAACATTTCAAAGGGTTCAGCAGGAAGCCAAAAGTCAACCCAGTTGCGTGAGAGGCCAAGAAGAATCCAAGGATCACCACCAAGGGCATTCTGATGGATCTGAGCAGTCCTGACATAAACTTCTCAAGCAAACGCTCCAATGGGCGCCGCACAAGGCTTGGTTTCCATGGACACCGATCACAGAGGACACCGCTTCTCTAAGACAGGCGCACAAAAGCTCACCTGGACAAAAAAGCAAGCTCTTGGCCCTCAGTTCTGTGGTCAGATGAGGCAAAAATGGAGTTGTTTTGACGTAGTGACGTGGTTTTTGTTTAGCGAAAGAAAGGAGGATCTTTTAACGCCAAGAACATCGTTCCCAGGGTCGAGCACGGTGGTGGGAATGTAGCGCTTTATGGGAGGCGAGGGAGTTGTTCAGCCAGTGAGCCAGGCAGCTTTGTGAAAGTAAATGACATCACGAGAAAAGAGGAGTAAGTTAGGACTGTGCAGGAATCACAGTCCAACAAGACAACATACAGACAAAGGGATCAAGAAAACATCAGTATTTAAGTGGCCCAGTCAGAGTTCAGACCCAAATCCCAAGAAGTATTTGTGGCAATAACTGAAGATCAGCATCGTGGCAACGAAGGCTTCCAACCTCAAAGACCTGAAGAAAGTTGCAAAAGAGCAGCGGTCCAAAATCCCAGCGTAGTCATGCAAAAAGTCTCTCAAAAACGCTCATCATGTCTTCTTACTGATAATATAATGTTCAGGTTCTCTATTCAGACATGTAGAGTGTGCTTTTATTGCCTGAAAGTTTGTTATTATAAGAACCGTTTAATTGCTCTAGTGGCAAAAAAAAAGAAAAAAGAAAAAAGAAAAGAAAAAGGTTTGCTATTGATTATGAAGAAAAGGTATGAACAATTTTAGAAATGTGTTTTTGTAAAAAATGGTTAAAACAACTGACAGATTCTCAAAATGTATCACATTCACTACAGATTACAATTTGTCACTGAGAGGAATAATACAGGTACGACAAGTTCAAATGAAAATGTACAACTGTTGCCTTCAATGCTGTGTCATGTAGACTTTGAAATTTTCCTTTTGGCATCATTCAACTTTGAACATTTCATGCAAACCAAAGAACTGCACACAATTTATAACCTATAACACTGAAGTTACATGAGATTTCTACACAAAATGGCCCCTGACATACCAATTGCGACTTTTGCTTCTTTTCTTTGCGGTTTTAAAAACAGAAATGTGATTCCGACGAGGGAGGTCCGATATTGGCTTTTTTTTTTGCCAATATACGATGTGCCGATATTGTCCAACTCTCAATTTCTAATTCTGATATCAACCAATACCGATATATGTTTGTTACTCCAGCCACACTTGTTTAAACACTTCACGACGCAGTTTGATGTCGTCATCATTTACATGCCAGTAAATGCCGGCAAAATCCAGGCATTATATAATCAGTTGTCATTATAGGCAAAAAAAATGACAACAATATTGACAGATATTCCATTTTTATACCAATATCAGGCCGATATTATTGGACAATCCCTAATTCAGACATGTCATTCCCAACTGATTTGTCCAACAACAGATTTTGCCCATAGAGGGAACCTATGCAATGTTTTTATGAGATGGCTCCACATTTGGAGTGCACTGTGACACAATGGACATCACTGATTGGTTGGATGGTACTTCAGTTACTGACAGTATCTGAGAAAGTCCTCCATCCATCCATCCATCCATCCATCCATCCATACACCACTTAATCCTCAACCCGGAGAGAACCCACGCTGCACGGGGAGAACATGCAAACTCTACACAGAATGATCCCGGGTGTCCTCACCGGGATGCGAACCGCCGACCTTCTAGCTGCGAGGCAACAATGCTAACCACCTCACCACCTGGCAGCCCTGAGAAAGTCATCTGAGGCCAAAATCTGAACTTTAAAAAGACACGATCATTGACACATGCTGATGATAAAATCTTTTGTTTCCACAAGTACATAGATTCAAATCCAAGATCTGTTGTCCATTTTCATTGTTGCCCAGTCAATATTTATGTTAGAAACTACTACCTCCTAGTTTATCCATACACAGCAAACAGTGCTGCACACTGTGTCCGCTCACATGACAGGGAAAGGCTTTAAAGCCGGTGGTCAAAGTGCAAAGAACAATCAAAAAGGGACAAGGACTCTGAAACATTTCAAAGGGCTCAGTTGGAAGCCAAAAGTCAACCCAGCAGCGTGAGAGGCCAAGAAGAATCCGAGGATCACCACCAAGGGCATTCTGATGGATCTGAGCAGTCCTGACATAAACTTCTCAAGCAAACGCTCCAATGGGCGCCGCACAAGGCTTGGTTTCCATGGACACCCATCACAGAGCTTATAAACAGTAAACTATTTCCTACTAGTTCATCCATACACAGCAAAAAGTGCGTCAGCGTACTCACACTCGACTTCAACTTCGACTTGCTCTGATTTTCCAGCTCCAATGTCATTCCTGGCCATACAGCTGTAGAATCCGCTGTCAGAGGGCCCGGCGGACATCACAACGAAGGTCTTCTGACTGACGGAGAAGGTTTCTGTCCTCCCATCAGTCACCTTCATCCAGGTAACAGAGGTCACTTCTGGGTGGGAACGGGCTCTGCAGTCCAGTTTGAATGGCGAGTTTTCTCTCACAACACGACCAGGCTCAGGTTCTACCTTCACGTCTTTGGGAGTATCTGCATTTATTATGTCGGATGTACAAAAAAAAAAAAACAAAAAAAAGACATTATTGTTAGATCAACAGGTGTTTCTGTCTCAGCATAAACAGAACACTTCTTGAACCTACAGTTGGTCGATTAAATTAAACTATATTTGATGATTGAAATACAAGTTGACTCCATTCCAACAATTGAGTAGAAACACCACAAAGTTAGCTGGATCATGCTAGTAAAGTAAAATAGCGTGTTAAGTGAGAGATCGGCTGGACTGATTACTGGTGCTGCTTTATACAAACTAGTAAAATGGATTACGTAACTTGTTTTCAGCTACTGAGATAAAATCTAGAATGGAAAGTTTTGGTTTTGATATTACCTGATTAACAAAAAAAAAAGACCCGCGCCACTCAGTCACTCACATTTCACCACTAACTTCCTTTGTTGGCTTGGCTTTCTTCCTTCAGTGTTCGAGGCCTCGCAGCTGTACGAGCCTGCGTCGGTTGAAGATGCGGTAAACGTGTGGCGGAAAATGTTTGGGTCATTAACGCGCGGACAGAATTTTCCATCTGAAGGCAGGGACTGTGATGAGCCTTGCCTTGTTACGGTGAAACATGACAGTGGGAAACTTTCAGCGGTGCAGCTGATTGTGACGGTCTGATTCTCTGTGACTTCGCTGTCCATAGACAGCGTGACTCCGGTGGGAGGAACTGTGGAGAAGAAGCAGCTGTGAGTGTGTTTTTCAGCAAAGATTTGATTTATTTTCAGCACGTCGTGTGATATTACAGGTGCAGTCTATGGAGGGGAAGTCAGCTTTTGCAGCTTTGACATTTGTTTGTTGTCTACCAAGAGCTAGATGTAAATACTGATACCCTTCTCATGTCAGTCTATGAAATATAAACATGAAGAGAAACCTCAGTTACTTACACAGCACTTTTATGCACACAAGCTCACTAAAATCCCCCGTGTCGATGGTGTTGGTTGCGTTGCATCTGTAACATGCTTCATCTGCTCTTTGGACGCTCTGGAAAGTCAGGCTCCTTTCGCCTGACATGTATGTCCACTGTGAGGAGCCAGTCAGTTTGTACCAGGAGTACCATGGAGGTGGATACGCGTCAGTGTCACAGGT